TCTCTCTACAATGTACTTGACTCCCCACATCAAAAGACAGACTTGCAAGACATAAATCTACCTACAATTTATCACCAAGCTTTAGCAAAGTCTTTTTTTGTCATGAACATTTAGGAGGTGATGTGTTATTTACATTTTATGTAGGAACCTCTCACAAATTCAAAATAGGAGGTCAGTGTTCTCTGGAACTTCCCTCACTTCCTTCAGCTTCTCCGTCCACCATCGCTTCATTAAGCCTTTCTCCCATGAGCCCATCTTCACCCAAACCCATCTTTTTTGCTGTTTGGTTTCTTGTGTTGCTATACCCAATGCCCTAAAATAGAGGTGGGCATGAGCAGGAGCTCCATATATGTTGTGGAAGGGAGTGAACCACCCATAACCAGTGGGCACCTATAATGAAAGAATAAGTACCATAATACCTGTGGATATTTTGAAGTTTATTTTCCCATGATACAATTCTAACCACGTTTTCTAAGGCATCTACTAAACCAAATTGTTTTTAACCTAGATTTAACTTACTGATTATAAATGCCAAAACTATTTTTTTAAAGACAGATTCTTCAACTTTTTTTAAAAAATTGATTTCAGAGAAGACGGGAGAGGGAGAGAGAAAGATGGAAACATCAATGATGAGAGAAATCATTGATCGGCTGCCTCCTGCATGTCCCCTCACTGGGGATTGGGGCCACAACCCGGGCATGTGCCCTGACTGGGAATCGAACCCTGACCTCCTGATTCGCAGGTCGATGCCCAACCACTGAGCTCTTCTGGCCAGGCGTCATAATTATTTTTAAATGGCTTGCTTCAAGAGGACAGAGTATATTTTGTCTTCTAATTAAGTTAGGTAAATATTTATGGTGCTTTCTAGGAAAGCCAGCTCTGCAGTGAGGTTGATCTGTCCCAAGTCATTTAGAATCTGTTTGAGACACTACAGACAAACCAGTCATGTGTGCAGACATAAGACTCAGCTTTAAAACTGTCAGGTCATTAAAATCCTTCAAATAAGGAAATG